ACGCTATAATTTTTTTCTATTTTTTAAAGTCGATTTTTGAAGTTTTCGTCTTTCAGCAGTGTTTCATTCACAAAAAATTCGTCTTTTACATTTACTACATTTTAGATTTTACGATTCTGGAATTACGAATCTGGAATGTTCTGCTTGAACGGCTATATGGAATTATGTGGATGATAGGGGTCCAGGCAAACGCATCAGTGCTGTGAAAAAATTTTGCGATGAAACAGTAGCTGGTCAAGGTATATTTGGAATTCGCTACAAAAAAACCTTTACAGGGGATATCTGGGCAACAAATGATCATGAGTTCTTATATCTGTAATTCGGGCAATTTCGCTAACATTTGGAACCTGTATAAAAAGAGTACAACGGCGAGCGGAGGAGGGGAGAGTTTGCGGTTCGAAGTGGACAATGGTCAATAACAGCTGCTGCACTCAGTTTTTGCTATTTTGCGCTTTTTTTGATACTCGAAAAGCACATTAATTAGAATGGCTGTCTGTGTGTTCGCCGGTTTAAACTCTTCACAAAGGTGGTCAAACAACGGGGACTGGAAAACTGTGGCGGCGATACGCGGCTGTAGTTTTGAGGAGGATGACGGATGAGTTGGACTGATGTGCTGGGGCAGCAAAATAAGTAGCCAAATGAACCTCTAACACAGTTGATGGATTGCTTCACACTGTCAACTATTTTCAACTGAATTCATCAACACTGAGCAGTCCTCTGTGTAGTGACCGCTCAGGCCTTGTGGCCACTACCGCAAACGGTCAGGAGCACCACCACTTATCATCTGGCACGCTTCAAATGCAATTTACCGCTTTACACCCTCTTCACAGTTTGAGTGACGTTTGATCGAGTTTGCTGTCTGATGCGGTCGGGACTCTTCTCACAACTTTTTTGCGGTAAAACGGACAGTTAATGAATTTTGTGGCTTGGTGCGCGCAGTGTAATAGCGTTTCACTTCCTTCAATTTTTTTTCGGCTAGACAGGGTGGCACAAATTTTGAACCAAGGGGCGCAGAATTTAGCCGAAGAAAATGAAGGAGATAGGGGGGTTTAAGACTGGAAGGAGAAAGAGGGAAAATAAAAGTACGGTATTCAGTCTAGTATCTATGAATGTTTTTGGGAAAAACCATCGTTTTAAAAGACAATTGGGTACAAAAGTGATATTTTCAAAAAAAAAAAAAACATATAAAATTCCAAACCAAATAGAAGTTAAGGTACAGCCCTCTTAGTTTATCTGACTCTCGGATGCCCTCACTGGACACAGGTTAAGATTCTTGCTGTGCTTCTGGAGCAGTACACGGGCAAGTACGTCTTCATAATGTTTCAGCTTTCTAGCCTATCTTAATTTCCGAGAAAGATTGTTGCCAAAAGTTTTACAAGCTGAACTTTTCTTGACATGTACGCGTGCGAAACTCAGGCATATGCAAAAACTTACGGATTCGCATTAGGACACAAATTGACATAACAGCAAGCGCTTCGATCTGAGTTTTGCCTGTCCGTATGCGAGATTTAGACATATATAAAAGTTGGATTTAAATTCTTTTAGGCCGCACACAGTCAGTGAATATCCTTGCAAAATTTCAACTTGTCTTTGATATGTTCGTACGTGAGAAGGAAAAGGATGTCAGCATTCATTTTGAGTCTTGGAACTTGTGTCAGTAGTGCTGGACTA